AAACGCTTTCTAGCCCATTCACTAGGCTCTCTTGTTATTTTAAAGAAAGACTTGAAAATGCTGCTTTCCCCCTTAGTTTCTTTTTAAGGGTATTGCTGCAGAATTGATCTGTTGGCCATTTTTTGCTGGTTTACATTTTGCTCTGCTTCCCATAGATGTTTTCATATTGTTGGGCACCTTGAGAATCCTTATTATTGTCTTTGGTTTTCTTTTTATTGAACAGTATTTCTCCGCCATGAAATAACCAAGTTCTTAGAGTGAGTTAGAATCACTATTAAGCATGTGTATGTGTGCACATATACACATACTTTTTAAAAAATGCAGTTAACCAAAAGATGTAAGAACAAGCCAGCAACAGAATAAAAACTCTCAAGTGTGTGTGTGTGTGTGTGTGTGTGTGTGTTATCAAAAATCAGCCATAACATTTTTTTAAAAATGCAACAGTATCTCAAAAGAGTAGAGGGGATTGCATTGTCTAAAACAAAGATGGGAAGTATTTTTCAGCCTGAGGGCCATGCTCCCTTCTGGGCAACCTTTGGGAGGAAGTCAATGGGTAAGTGAGATCAGGGGCAAAAGGGAGCAGAGCAACAAAGGTGAATTTGCCTTTGAACTATTGTTTCTACACACTCACACAACCCTCTCTATCCTAAATCCAGGCAAGCAAGTAGTATTATCAGAGATTACGCGTGCATTCCAGCTGGGCTAAAACACTTGAGGAGGGTATGAAACAGGACTGGTGAAACCTGGGGAAAGTTCCAAGGGCCAGATAAAGAGGCTAGAGGGCCACATTTGGTCCCTGGGCCTGAGGTTCCCTTGCCTGGACTAAGTCATTATCATACCCCAACCCTTCCAAACTAGGGCTGTAGCCATTAATATAGGATTTTTCATGGCACTGCATATTGTTTGAATATATGGTGCTCTACAGGCACTGGTTGCTCTAGAGCAGTGGTTCTCAACCTGTGGGTCCCCAGATGTTGTTGAACTACAACTTCCATCACCCCTAGCTAGCAAGGCCAGAGCTCGGGGATGATGGGAGTTGTAGTCCAACAACATCTGGGGACCCACAGGTTGAGAACCACTGCTCTAGAGGTTGCTCTAGTCTAGAGGTGACTCTAGAGGTATTGTCAGTCTGGTCTGGGGCCCACTGGGAGTGTAGGGCAGAATGCATGGAGCTGAACATTCGGTGGTGCAATTACCAATGACAGGCAGAGCCAACTAATTAAAGTTTCATCCCCCATCCAATTCCCTGCTGAACTCTGCAGAGGCAACACTGAAGCTGAGGGGAAAGCTGACAGCAAGGGCAATCGCTGGGATTGGTTGTAAATAAGAAAGAAGGCATGCAGGTGGGAGCTGAGTGAGAGCAGGTCAAGGCTGCCCAAGGGAACCAGGCTCCACTGCATCTACTTTTAAAAGGCAGCCTTGCATCGTTAGCAAAACCCAGTGGACAGCAGCACATCTCACTGCAGGTAGTATGGTGGATTTTCCAATCCACCTTTCATGAGTGACTTGTTCTCTCAGACAGGCCTTGAATTAACACTGCAGAGCCCAAGTAATAGATGCCATTATTGTTCTTCAATAGAAGCACAAGCATAAAATTCCCAGATGCTACAGAAACCTCCTTCATTCTTAATTCAGGAGTAGAACACTCTCAAAACCACCAGCAAAATCACAACGATGAATCACTCCCATTCCTCTGTTGTCTTACAACCAAAGTGTTGGCAATAAGGGGTTTATTTATTTTTTATTTTTTGTATTTCAATTCTAATGAGGGAAACGGCAATTAGATATAAAGACAACGTGCTAGAAAATGCATGTGTGGTGGTATGAGTTGTGTGCATTTGATGTCTGAAACGGTTATTCTTATTTGCGCATCTACAAGCAGGAAAGAAAATGGATGTAAACAATGATATATGCAGAGCTGTAGCTGTTGCCGAATCTTGAATGCTCATGGCACATTGAAGAGCTTGAGCATATCCTTCATCTGAAGTTAAAGATGCATGAAGCCAATCTCTTCATTTCCAAGGATATCCTGCGTGCACACTTTGTGTCCCAACAAATCTCTGGAAGGCCACAGCAGACTTGTTCTGAGAATATAAGAAGAGCTCTGCTGGATCAGGCCAGTGGCCCATCTAGTTCAGCATCTCGTTGTCACAGTGACCAAGCAGATGCCTCAATGGGAAATCTGCAAGCAGGACCTGAGCACAAACACACTGCCTCCCACCCATGATTTCCAGCAACTGGTATTCAGAAGTATTACTGACTCGGACTTTGGAGGTAAGAACATTTAGCCATCAGCATTAGTAGTCATTGATGACCTTTTATTCTCCATGAATGTATCAAATCCTCTTTTGAAGCCATCCAAGTTGATGGCCTTCACTGCCTCTTGTGGGAGCAAATTCCGTAATTTAAGTATGTATCTTGTGAAGAAGGATTTCTTTTAGCTGCCCTGAATCTTCCAACTGAATTGGACGTCTTCAAATTCTAGCAATTATGAGAGAGGAAGAAAAAAAATTCTCTCTCCACTTTATCCATGCTGTGCATAATGTTACATGCTTCTATAGTGTCGACTCTTACATGCCTTTTCTCTAAACTAAAAAGCGCTGCTGTAACCTTTCCTCATAGAAGATTGATTAGATAGATAGATAGATAGATACACAGTATATATGAATATATATATATATATATATATATATATAGCTTGTTGCACATCCTCTTGAGCAAACTTAGCAGAGAGAAGGAAGAAGCATTGGAATGTGCTGACAAGTCTAGATTCCTCACCACTGCATTGCTGTTCAGGGGCACGTGGCTCTCTAAGTAGACATTGTAAAGAGGCAGAGAGGCTAAAATCCTATGCACACTTAAGTTTGTGCATAGGATGTGCATTACGCTGATAACTGTGCATGAGATTGGGTAGCTACTTATGTATCACACACACATACACAAAGACAAAAGACAACAGAAAGTGGGAGGCAGTATGCCTCTGAATACCAGTTGCTAGGAACCGCAAGCAGGAAGAGTGCTCTTGCGCTCATGACTTGCTTGTGATTGTTTAATGGGAAAGGCTTGCTTAGCAACTTATTTCATTCACTGCACAAGGAAACAATTGACCACTTAACCAAAGTGTGGTGTCATAATGTACAAAGGAGGAAGTCAAGTAGCAAATGGGTGCATCGAAGCCAAGAATGTAATAAACGTCTTGTTTTCCCTTCACCGGACCATAAATAACATTTAATGCAAACATGATGTAACCTGACTTTACAGTAATGAATTCGCCTTGTGGGAAGGCTGACTGGGCACAGGGGCCAGATGAAATATCTCCTCTAGGCACAGCACTGCTGCAGCTGATGCCAGGCTCAGCTTCACAACCTGAGGGGCACACAATGCAGCCCCTCCTCAAATCCCAACCTGGCCTCGTGATGTCATCAAGCTGCTCTTCTATATGGTGGTTGAACCACAACTCCCATCATTCCCAACAGCAAATGCCAATGGGGAGAAAGGCTGGTGGACGAGTAAGAGAAGGAGTCAAGGCCACAGCAGTGGAGAACCAGGGCCCTCATACTGCTAAGTCAGGGGGTACTGGTGTCCTCCTGGGCTGGCTGAAGACAGTCTTATTCCATCTCATTTCCATTCCACTGGCATTCAGACATAGGCCCATTCTGTCCCATCTTGTGCAGATCTGCTAAATTTGCCCAGATCCTTAAGCCTTCCCTTATAGAACTTGGTCTCATGACCCTAACTAACTTTTTTACCCACTTTCTCTCCCCTGCCAGCCTCCAGCGGGCTAGCCATTTTCTTTTTTCTTTTTGCAGCCTTCTAACTTGTATCAGCTTGTATGCAATTTCAACCCCATTGAAAGCCATTGATGTTAGGTCACTGCCTTCATTGTATGGGTCTCAATGCCTGCCTTAAAAAAGTAGGACGTGTGTTTTTAAGCAGGCATTGCAGGCATTTTATTTTGGCATGTATTTTAATGCATAATTGTTTTTGTGTATGTTTTAATTTTTTTTATTAGATGTATTTAATAATTTTACTTAGTATTTTGTTGGGGAGGGTGAAATAGGTCAAGTTGTTTTTAACACCTGATCTCTGTGTTTTTAATGCATTTTGCATTGTTTTGTGCACGCCCAGTTGCTCCAGTGTTGCCCATTGGAGCTAATAGGGTGGAAGACTAGGAAGCTAACAGAAGACTGGGAGGCCAGATCCAATAACAGGCACAGCCAACTCATTCTAGTTTGCAGCTATCTCTCTCTCTCTGCTGAACTCTACAAGAGCGAAATTGAGACCGAGGAGGAGGAGGAAGCTGACAGCTGGCAGAACGTAAAGATGCAGTCAGGTGTGGGCTGGTGGAAGGCACACAGGTTGTTTGGGGCACTGCCCTATTTGCCCTAATGGACCAGCCGCCACTTAGAGGCTTTGATGATGAAGCAATATAAAAATCCTCTCAAATTAAAATAAACACTATATACTTAGCATAATTAGATCTTCAGTGTGCAAATATTCTAAAGATATTCTAGCCCTACCTTGATTGCTATTTTTCTCCTATCCTTTAAGAGGGATAGGAGAGAGAAAGCATCATTTTCCAAACAGCCAGCTGGCTTCCTCAGAGTTTTCATTCCCCTCTCAAAGGCTTTCTTCCAGTAGTTAAGTAGGCACTTTTGCAAAAATGCATGTGGGGAGAAAAAATCTGACTTGCTGCCTTGGGGGTCGACTTACCTGCACACATTCTTATCTTTCCAAGTAATTAAGGAGCACAAATACAAGCCTTTCATTATGCAACTGTGTCGGTGGGGGGAGTCTGGAAATACAGCAAAAACAATCAATTCTGCAGAAGGATCCTGGTTTTGAGGAGCTACAGTTAGAAACAAGCATCTGCTTGGCAGGGACTACATTCTCTGTGGGGTGAACAGATAGAGAGAACTTTTGCTTCTGACTTTTTCCTTTTTTTGGATTAAAAAAAGGAAAGGAAGACCTGTCAGTCAAAGGTGGTACATAATGCATAAGGTAGCTCAATGGCAGAATACCTGTTTTGCATTCAGGAGGCGGTTCTGGGTTCAATCCCCAGCATCTCCTGGTAGGGCTGGGGAAAATTCCTAGTCAGAAACCCTGGAAAACAGCTGCCAGTCAGTGTAGACAATACTGAGCTGATTGGACCAAGGGTCTGAATTGGTAGAAAGTTCCCTACATTCCTAAGCACAGAATTTTGGGGGTGCCATTTGAATCAAGATAGCAGACTGAACTTATCAAAAACTGCATTAATTTTCCTGGTGAGTAACCCCACACAATACTATGTCAGGCCAGGCAGAAGGCCTTTTTCTCCTCTTAGCAAATACCCATGCCTCTGGGGAGAATTCTTCCACTCTTTAAGTGCAATGGCTCAGGGGGATTTTCTTCTCTTTCTTCCCCTACACTCATTCTCGCTTTATCATGCAGAAATGCCACTCTGAGATTTACTGTTCATTTCTCAGGCTCAATATCACAGCGGAAAGCATTGGCTGACATTCAACTGTGTTATTAAACAAATGTTCCTGCATGAAATATGACTTCTTGTTTTTTACTCTTCCTCCAGTGAGTGACATGGCAGTTGCCTTGTGTTACACTTCAATATGAACTGAAACCAAGTCCAAACCCACCTGGCAAGTTTCCTCCAAAACACACACACACATATGGTAATTTGTTGTGGTTCTGAATGCTGATCCTGTCAATGGTTTAGAAAGGAAGGTGTGCAAAGGAGAAATAGACAAATAAAGGACTTTTTCTCCTTCTCTATCACTCAGTGGTAGAGCATCTGCTTTGTGTGCAGAAAGTCCTAGGTTCAATCCCATACGTCTCTAGGTAGGGTTAAAAGAGAGTCTTGCCTAAAATACTGGAGAGTCTCTAAGTCTGAGCCAGACAGACTTATGGTCTTATATTCCTAAAACAAGACCATTGTCTTACACTTGGTTCCCCTAAAAAATGTTGAACAGCTTAGGGTTGTCCATCCCCAAAAAGTGGGAGTTCCTGCACTTGGGACATGTCCACCTATTCACTCATTCCCAAGAAACCTTGTTTGCTACTTTGCTGTTCTACAGAGATGTCTCAAAGCTCTTGCTGCTCCATAGTTGCATAGCCAGATATGTGTGTATTAAACATGGAGAATGCAGCTATAAATGGCTGTGAACCATGATGGCTATGCTCTACCTCCATGTTCAGAGACAGTAATACTTCTGAGTACCAGGTGCTCAAAACCACAGGAGGGGAGAGTGTTATTGTGCTTGGGTCCTGCTTGTGAGTTTCCCACTACATCACTGTGAGAAGAGAATGCTGGACTAGATGAGCCATCGGTCTGATCCAGCAGGCTCTTAAGTCCTTATTGTCCTAAGCTATGGAGTAGCCTAGAAGTCAAAGAAGCATAAGAACATAAGAAAAACCTGCTGGATCAGGGCCAATGGCCCATCTTGTCCAGCACTCTCTTCTCACAGATGCATATGAGAAGCACACAACCAGGATCTGAGTGCAAGAGCACGCTGTCGGAGTGAAATTCCCAGCAATTCACATACAGAGGCATACTGCTTCCAACAGTGGATGGATGTAATCACTTTCAGTGCCCCTTTATCTGTCCCTAGGAATTCTTACTGAGCCACACCCCCTCGGAATTCCACTGAGCCACACCCCCTCAGAATTCTCACTGAGCCACACCCCCTCATCTGGCCACACCTCTGCTCTTCATGATACACTTATCACATGATACACTTGTCTGTTCTGCACCCTTCTTGAGTGGTTTCATCTGGCTGAAATGTGTCCCCGAACTATGATAATGCCTCTTACTTGTCTGGACAGAGGGAGCATGTTGAGTGCATGTATAAAATATCTTGATGTAAAGGTAAAATATATGTTTCTTGTTCCACCTACTTTTGTGTCTGGCTCCACCCATCACATGGCCCACAGGAGGTTGTTGGGATGGGAATGTAGCCCTCTGACTTAGAAAGGTTCCTGATCTCTGCTATATGCAGAACACACAGAGACTGGCCAAATTCCCACCATACATTTAAAACACCGTGATGCCACTTTAAAGTTCAATGGATTCCCCAAAGAATTCTGGGAGCTGTAGTTTGTTCTCAGGATTCTTTTAGGAAAGCCAGGACTATTTAAAGTTGTATGATACTGCTTTAAATGTATAGTGGGGGGGGGTGTAAAATAAAACTAAAACAGTCAAGTAGGCATACCGTAAATTCACATCAAAAGAGGCTGTTTAGGGGACAGTTCTGCAATTTGCACAGAAAAAGTTTTAGGCTAATAAATTTACCAAATGCTACATAAGCAAAAAGGAAAAGAAATCACTCTATATAGAAAGCCTAAGCATTGGCAGATGGCTTGCAAGGGCTACATTTTAATGACAATAAATCTTTATTGGTATGTAACTACATAGCCATTTGATGTTCCGCCATGGCACTTTAAACCCACTTAAGCAATCCAAACGTAATTATCACTCATTTAGTGTGCCCTGTGGTTTAAAAAGCAAACTTGATTGTGTATTTGACCCGCAATAAATGCATAGCAAGAACAATCTGATTACCCTCAGTCTAATTTTCATTGTCATGTAGTTTAGTTGCTGCTTACTTCGGGTTTGTGGATCCACACTGTGCCAACTAGAAGATTCTACACTTACATAGCAAATCCATTCCCTGGACTGCAGATGTAAAATTAGGCAGGGTCCAGAGATCAGGAAGATCACAGCCTGGGATTGCACACTTAGTCCTCTCCTTCCACTTGCATTGTGATTTATTTATATGCTGCTTAATGCAAAAAAAAAGGCTTCTAAGTATAAAAACCAGTGGCACACCTGTAATGGGAAAGTCAACATGGATATGACTTTTAGAGGCGTATGAAATGACAGACTACACTGAGGATTGGAGCTAATTTGAGACTTTGCCAGCCCACTCATAAAAAAGGACTCGGGAAACCAAACGTGTGGTGAAAAAAAGCTATATTTATTCAAAATAAAGCAGCAGAGGATCTGCAACACTTAATTAAGCAAATTAAATTTAATTCACCTAATCAAAATAAAGTCCAGGCAGGGAAGTTCCCTAAGGCAGGAGGGATCAGCTCTGTCCTCTGTTCTGGGAATGTTTACAGGTTTGAAAGGAATGGAAGATAATTATTCCACCTTGGTATGATAACCTTGGATGTGTAAACCTGACAAGCATACTGTGGACGCACCAGTTTGGCGTTTACCCTGGTGTGCATGACAAGCCTCAAGGGTCCTTCCAAGGGCCCCCGAAGTGAAGCCTGAGCTGGGTGAGCTAAGAGTTTCCCAAACCCACTAATGCCTCAGCTATTTATCCCACCAGATCTTTAAATTCTCTTTCCCGCCTGAAGTAAAAGTCAATTAAGCTGATCAAAAAATGCTATTTAGGGCTCTTATCAGCATGGAGTTGGCAGGAGCTCTCCTGAAAATTCTTACTCAGCCCCCAAACTATATAGGTAGGAAAGGAGACCATTGCAATGGGAAGAATGCAACATTTGGGGGAGGAGCCTATTTATAAAGCCTGTCTTCCACCCTGACTGGATTGGCTCCCCTTTCCATGTGATCACTCCCCAGCTTCTTCCTCAGGACAAAACATCCTGCACTGACTTTGAGGGAAAATTGGGTTGTGGCAAAGACACCCCCATTCAAATGTGGGAGTGCCATTCTTCAATGTCAGTAGATTTTTTTTTTTAATAATAATATTTATTATTTTTCCAAAAACTTAAACACTAAAAAAAACCCAATACAATACAACACATCAAATCAACAAAAACAAAACAAAAACAATAAAATAAATCAAACAATTTCATGATCCCATCTTTCATTCACTTATTTCCACGACCTCCTCACACCTCCCTTTTTGTATTCCACTTCTGTTAATTATTTCAGCAATTCCTTTCCATCTTCCTCTGTTTTCTATCCTATAATTATCTTAACTCATTCTAACCTTATTTTATCCTTTAATGCTCTATTAACCTATCTGTACTTAATTCCTTATAACATTTCTACTAAAGCCATATAACTTCATTCCAACATTTTTCTAACATTCATTAATTTTACAGTATTTCTGTAAATAGTCTTTAAACTTTTTCCAATCTTCTTCCACCGACTCTTCTCCCTGGTCTCGGATTCTGCCAGTCATTTCTGCCAGTTCCATGTAGTCCATCAACTTCATCTGCCATTCTTCCCGGGTGGGCAAATCTTGTGTCTTCCAATACTTCGCGATGAGTATTCTTGCTGCTGTTGTTGCATACATAAAAAAAGTTCTATCCTTCTTTAACACCAATTGGCCGACCATGCCCAGGAGAAAGGCCTCTGGTTTCTTCAGGAAGGTATATTTAAATACCTTTTTCATTTCATTATAAATCATCTCCCAGAATGTCCTAATCCTTGGGCATGTCCACCAAAGGTGAAAGAATGTGCCTTCAGTCTCATTACATTTCCAACATTTATTTTCGGGCAAATGGTAAATTTTTGCAAGCTTGACTGGTGTCATGTACCACCTATAAATCATTTTCATTAAGTTTTCTCTTAGGGCATTACATGCCGTAAATTTCATACCTCTGGTCGATAACTGTTCCCAGTCAGCCATCATTATATTATGTCCAACATCTTGTGCCCATTTAATCATAGCTGATTTCACCGTTTCATCCTGAGTGTTCCATTTCAACAGCAAGTTATACATTCTTGACAAATTCTTAATTTTTGGATCTAACAATTCTGTTTCCAATTTTGATTTTTCCACCTGGATTCAATGTCAGTAGAAATTAACTGGATTCAGGGTGATGTGTCTGCAGAACAGGTGTCTTCAGTTTAAAAAAATCTTGCTATCACAGAGTAGTGTGGGCCAGAACATGGAAATAATGTACAGTGGTACCTCAGGTTACATATGCTTCAGGTTACAGACTCCGCTAACCCAGAAATAGTACCTTGGGTTAAGAACTTTGCTTCAGGATGAGAACAGAAATTGTGCTCCGGCAACGCGGCGGCAACAGGAGGCCCCATTAGCTAAAGTGGTGCTTCAGGTTAAGAACAGTTTCAGGTTAAGAACGGACCTCCGGAACGAATTAAGTACTTAACCCGATGTACCACTGTATTCCATCTATACAGGAATAACTTCTGAAGTGTCCTGAATTAGTGGGAGTTGGCAAGCCTGTATGATTTGGTCTATAAGAGGAAAGTCCCCTCCCATAATACAAATGGTGGAGAGATACAGTACTTTGCAAATTATTTTAATCCAAATCTGGGAAATACCAGGCTTGAAAGACATTTATTTATGTAAATCTGATTTGTGTAATTCTCTAAAAGCATAAATAAAGTAGCCAGTGGTACAAACTTTACAGGCATCAAAACACATACATCTTATTCCCCCACTCTATGCACATAACTGCATTTGCTCTCCACCCCCCCCCCCCCCGAAGGTTTTCTCTCTATTCAATCTGAGCAGCAGAATAATTTTTGGGCTGTGTATGTGCAAAACTCCCTGTTCCCTCAAACTCCCCCAGACATCTTTAGGGAACGTTGCTGCCACATTTACCAACAGGAAATGAGCACTCTGCTGGACATCATCAAAGAAATGCAAGGGATGCTATCACTCACTTGAAAGCTTATTGATGGTTACTATCAGGCAAAGTTATATTTAACATGACCCTCAAAGTCAACCTCCGTATCTGACAAGAGATACTTGCCTGTTTTATGTTTTAAAAAATCCTTCTTGCTAGCAGCATGCCCTTCATCAGAGAAGCAAGATGCTTCACAAACCTTAATTAAGCAAAGCTAAGCCTAATAGCCCAACACAAAGTTAAGCATTAGCTTCATGATTGAAACAGAGAACCTTC